TCTAACCACGTCCTACACGCTTTCATGAGCATGAATCAACATGAATTGCCATGCTTTGAGAACTACCTTCCCCCCCCTCTACCCCCTCAGAATGCGCGCAAATCCAAGATCAAGTTATTTGCCGTTTCAGTGGATTTGAATAAGTACGCGCAGAAAACCCGACGACTCCGGTTGTTTACTCGATGGATTGTTTGAGCGATTTAATTGGCGACCTTCATATGCGGCAGGCACTTACCCGCTTGCAACCATCTGCCTTAGGCTCCATTTCAGTGAAGTTCCGAAGTCCCAGCAACTTGAGAAACTCCGTCTCCAGAAGGCCGGGTTTCTTGTGGTAAACAAACTCCGCGTTGGGGTGAGACAGTATTAGATCTAAGTTGACAGCAAAGCCTGCCATGTCGACGGGGAAAACCCGCCAGGGCTTAAATACGGACCACATTTTCTCAATCACTTGTGGATCCTCGGGTTTTGTGACACATCCCTCCCAGAGGAGTCCTCCAACAAAAGCCACAGGCCAGGTCGAAACACGCTTGGTCGTTCGAATCTAAGGAAAAGAAGAATAGAAACAGAAGGATAACATTGTGAACCGACATTTTGTAACAATTTACAGACAGCCTCTCAGGAAAAGCAAAAGATACCTTTTAAAAAAGAATATACGTTAAGGACGCGGCAGTCTGCGAGTAAATGGCAAACCGTAGATGGTAAAGTTGAAGTCTAGACTGATAAAGATTGGTGAAACAACATGAGCACTTCGGAGCTACATTTTGCCGTCGTCAATTTAGCATTCAGTCAGTAGGCCAGAAAGGTCAGTGAGTTTGCGAATTATTGGTCCAGGCTACGGCCTGGCCGGCTGCTGTTGACTTCCAGTTCCAGGCCAGTCGGCAAAGGAAAACGAGCACGAAAACCTCTCCAGGAAATGTAGCACAGGACATGAAGGCTGGCAGCCTGGTGAGGTGAGCACATTCACCACTGCTTGTGGTACAAGCACGACGAATACCGTCACTAATGCAATTAGAAAAGCCTAACTTGTGTGATGCTGCCAAAGCGCCGGCTGTCGAGATCTAATTCCTTGAAACTTTTCTAATCACGCGGAGTACTATTCCGAATACCCTATCACTATTGATTGTAAACCAACGATCCAAATTCTACCACCCACTGTCAAATTCACGGCCCACGGTGAGCCTCATAGTTCCATGGTAGAGCGTTGGTTGCGCAAAAGCCTTCCCTGCTGCGTGGGTTTGACTCCCACTGAGACCGCGAATTTTTCAAAATTAGGTCAACTGAATTAACCAAATCTGCCAAACCCCCATAACAAATTCCTTTTTTGAAACAAAAGCTTCCATTATAGTAGGAGATGCCTCATAATCTGCAACTACCCACTTCTTACCAACTGTCGGGAAATCCAGAGGGCGTTAAGGTCAAGAAAAAGCCCGAAGCTAGTGGAATGTCATAGCTAAAGATAACTGAAAAGAACCATGCTGGCAGCTGAAAGTCCAGGAACGTACATTGCCCATATTCTGCTGCTGTTTGCACAACTGCCGGGGGATGTCGGCTCCTCAGTGGGTCCCCCAGTATACGCTGCACCCTTTCTGGTAGATACTCCACTTCTGAAATTGTTGCTTTTTCATTTTCACGGAAATTCATTTTTAACTTGCCAGTGTGCTAAACAATTACGCAGGTTATACTTCTGACCGCCTATTGGCAGTTTGGAGATATTACGTAGTCAAACCGTTTACCGATTTCATTCCAGCGGTAAAGAGAATGGGGACC